AAACTGTGGGCACATGGGCATTGCCAAGTTGGCTTGTGCCAATATTCGAGTCAATGCCATCTAGAATTTTTTCAGTGCTCCCTTCCTTGTCCTCATCCTGGTTCTGGTTGGAATCTTTTATGGCTACAAAGGCAGTTCTATATTCTGCCTCAAATCCCAAAATGCCCACACAAGGCACTGAGCACTTGTGGCTCCCATACTGCAGTCATGTTTGTGATTTACACATCCTCTCTTTCCCCCTTCATTTGTTACAAATGTGCTGTACCCAATAAAGTTGTTAATAATAGGGGAAACAGTGCAGGATGAGTGGGAACTTTGTACTCTCTTCCAATTATTCTGTAGATCTAAAATTCAAGAAAAAAAGTTTATCTAAAAAGTAAAAAAAAAAAAAAAAAAGGAAAAAATCACAGGATTTAGAAATTTCAGATTCTTTTGATGATGAACATGGAATTTGGTCAACACAGTCTTAGATCAACTAAAATATCTGTATAACATCTTAGAAATTAAAATCATATTTGAAGGAATCACAAAGCTCTCAAGACTGTCAAGGTATTACAAGAACAAGGTAAAAGAGGAAACAGAACCTGAAAGGATAGCTTGACATTTGTGGTAACGTTTTCTCTAAAAACACCAACTGGCTCTTGCATTAAATAGCTAAGAAGGCCCTAACCGGTTTGGCTCAGTGGATAGAGCATCAGCCTGCGGTCTTAAGGGTCCCAGGTTCGATTCCGGCAAAGGGCATGTACCTTGGTTGCGGGCACATACTCAGTAGGGAGTGTGCAGGAGCAGCTGATTGATGTTTCTCTCTCATCGATGTTTCTAACTCTCTATTCCTCTCCTTCCTCTGTAAAAAATCAATAAAATATAGTTTAAAAAAATAAATAAATAGCTAAGAAGATGAGTCACATTTGTTTTTCCACTTGGGCAATATTTTACTGCAGTTTGGAATTTAGGGTACATTAACATGGACCTAGTTAATGCCATGCAGTGATTTCTATTTCTTTATGAGCTTTTTATGTGCAATAAAGTAAAAAAAAAAAACAATAAGATACTAATAAAATCTAAAGATAGTAGTAGTTATATTTTATGAAAAAACAAGAAATGAGCCCATAGAACACACTTGAATCTGAATCCATGTTTTAATATTTATGTTAAACCATGAGAGCACTATTTTTTATTTATGTTATTTCCTTGTTTAAAATATTTTCATAATGAGAATTATCCTATCTAATAAAAGAGAAACATGGTAATTAGCCGTACCTCCGCTACCCTTCCCATTGGCTAATCAGGGCGATATGCAAATTAACTGCCAGCCAAGATGGCGGCCGGCAGCCAGGCAGCTTGAAACTAACATGAGGCTTGCTTGCTTCAGTGACGGAGGACTCCAACGTTCCCCGCCTGCCTTGCCGACCTCTGAGCTTGCAGTTTGAAACATTGTTACAAATATAGAAGCTAAACAAAACCCCAGAACCTGCTTTCAGCCAGCCAGGATCTCAGAGCTGGAGTTGAAACAGTGTTTCGATTATAGAACCCAAACAAACCAGATACCTGCTTTCAGCAGTGGAGGCCTAAGAGCTGGAGCCAAGCCTCAGAGCTAAAGCTGGCCCAGAATAAAAAAGAAAAAGAAAAAAAGGAGCAGTTGGGAGCTTCAGTCAACAGCCAGCCTGAAAACAGCCCTCAGCCCCTCACCGAGACTGGCCAGGCACCCTTGTGGGGACCCCCACCCTGAAGGGGGTGTGACCAGCTGCAAACAGCCATCATCCCCTCACCCAGGCTGGCCAGGCACCACAGTGGGGTGGCGCCGCAACCTCCCCATCGACCCTGCCTTGAGTGTGATAGGCGGCGGTGCCCCAACCCCCCAATCGGCCCTACCCTGAGCGTGACTGAGGGTGGCATCACAACATCCTGATCTGCCCTGCTCTGTGCATGACAGGGGGTGGCGCCCCAACTCCCCAATCAGCCCTGCTCTGTGCCCGACCAGGGGCTGCACCTAGGGATTGGGCCTTCCCTCTGCCACTCGGGAGCAGGCCTAAGCCAGCAGGTAGTTATCTCCCAAGGGGTCCCAGACTGCGAGATGGCACAGGCCGGGCTTAAGGACCCCTCCTCCCCTCCAAGTACACAAATTTTTGTGCACCGGGCCTCTAGTTAAATATAAACATAAATAAGTCTGAAGTTATTTATAAATCAGATACTAAAAATTATGAAAGCTCTGCTATGCTAAATGGAGAAGGCAACAGAGAATTACTTGGTGGGATTTTATACTGCATTTGGTAGGTCAAGTATGTTTTTGATTCTGTGAAAAAACAATAGGGAATTATTTTGACATAAAATAAATGGGAATTATCCACAAAGTTAGTGGTATTTCCTGATTATTATTAACATTTATTAAATACTTACTTTGTGAATTACATACTACCAGGAAAACTACATGTTATCCCTCATTTAAGCTTTACATAAACCACTTGAGGTATATACTGTTTCTGCATAAGAATATTAGATTTTAATGAGATTAAGTGTCTTGCTCAACATAACTCAGGTAGTAAGTGGATGAGCCATCCTGGGGATACAGGCAATTACTAGCTACTGCTTTGGGGCTCCATCACATTAGTATACTTGCTTTGAGGTGGTTAAGAGTTCTGATTTGTGTAATGGCCTATCTCCTAGGCAAGGAGTGTAATCGGTTCACATAGGCTCAGGTCACATCACTGATTCTGAGTAGTTGGCCTCATTATCCCTAGAGGAGGGCAGACACCCTGGAGGGTAACCTCTGGGCTCTCCTATCCTTCACAAATATGGCTCTAGGGAATTCACGAGTCTTTCCCTTAGGGAGCATCATGTAAACCATAAAAAGTCCATTCTCTATTTGGGTTCACAGGCTCAGAATCACCTGTTACACAGCTTGGTAAGTCTACTACCTATTTTTCCAGCCCATGGATAGGATGACAGAGAGCAGGGAAGAAAGGAAAAAAATATGAGTGTCATGAAGCTGTAGAGCAGAACTGAGATTGGGTTCATAACATAAAGGAAGTTCTCCACTTACATATAATTGCCAAAATATGACTGGTAACTCTTGTTTGAATTTTTATCTTTTTAATCAGATGTCTCAACTTGGGATGATTTATTTTATTGTTTCCTATCAGGGTGAGGTGCAAAAATAAAATAAAATAAACTGTAAATATGTCCTCTCACATCCCAAGTGTAGGGAAAATACAAGTTAAAGACATTAAAAAACAATAATAGAAATAATTTAGTGCATTTCTAAGCACTGCTTTTTGCAGTGCAGGTAAAAAAAAATCAACCCACACTAAAAAGAATGCTGTGCTGTATAAACAGATTACAGTGAACCCTAGAAAAAAAGGCAAACGTGCTCTGTCTCCAGGAGTCACACAGTTTTGCTAACGTATTCCCATGTGTAGTGTTGGCTACCACCTATCTTTCAGGGTCCAGGTTTTTCAGCATCTACCGCCTTGGAGGAGCATGTTTTGGTGTATTGATAAGAAACAGCCTTTGGTTGTCACGTCTGTGATTTTTTTGTTGCCCAACAGTAATAATACTTTTAGCCCTCTAACCTCTTACCACTCCATATTCTTGGCAGGAAGCACACCTTTTAAAGCATGGGAAACACATAATGATGAGTTAAAATGAAGGTTCCATAAAATCACTTCTAACAGTACATAACATCTTACTTGTGGTCTCTTTCTTCCATCCCCCCCTCTTCTTTTGTATTTCTCAATTAAAACATTTCACAGAATAGCCAAGGCTTTCATACTTAAGCATCTAAACCAAGCCTTCCTTTTGGCATGGAGCATCTTGCTGGGTATACCTGATTTTTAAGTTCAGGCCAATATTTACATATTCCAACAAATCCTTTCACATCTATTTTGCCTTAAGCATAATAGAATTATAAATCATTAAATACTAGATCAGAGGATATTTGCTCTACCTGACTTTCCACTATAATGGGTGAGTGCTATAAAGAATCCCTTAAGATTTGGGGTACTTTACTGGTTTCAAGTGGGTTGGTCATTATGAGATCTAGAATGTTCTTTATAGTCTAATGCACTTTTTGCTCTATTTCATCTTCTCCTTAATACTTTGGTTAATTGATTAGTATTTTTGAACCACTGGTCACTAACATGCATAAATGAGGGAATTAATATACTATTAACATTCTTTGTGCCATCTGAGTTTGCATGTAACCCACTTTGGAGATTAGTACATCAAAATCTCTGAAGATCATCATTCGAAGGTAATGAATTTAAACATACCCCCTCACCCCCTCTAATGTGATTTCTCACAGTCTCTGGAGCTCCTTCAGCAATTTAAAAATACAATGACAAAGGAGAAACAATAACTTGTGCCTGTGTGTTATTGTGTTGTGTTTTTGGTTAGGATTTTTAATTCATCAGCAGCCATCAGTTGTCATTAGTACATATGGGGAAAACTCAGAGAGGGTTAATAAGCACAAAGGAATATGCTCCTGGTTAATAATCTGTTATGTGGGAAAAGAGCAGAGACAAGGTGATAAAGAGGGTAACGAATGGGTGTGTGCCATGTGAGCGTGTGCGTATAAAAGCCTATTTATTCATTCACACCTTATGCTTTAATTATGAGTGCATGTATATCCACATATACTTGTGTATATGTGTGTGTGTGTGTGTGTGTGTGTGTGTGTATGTAAACCAGGAGATACATAACTAAATGCATATAGTAAAAGATGACCTTGCATAGAATAAATAAATAAATAAATAAATGCATTATGAAACTATTTTAGAATAATAAAATTAAGATTTCTATAATCAAATTCTAGTTTTAAAGGTTTCACTATGAAGATTTCAATTATCTGACAACAAAGCTATTGATGAGGTTATTGATAATGGGATAAACAGGTAAGATATTTGCTTTCTCCCCCAGTATTATAAAGCATCATGGTAACAGAGTGGTACCTTCCAATATGAGTCAGCACACATCTGCAATGGACACATTCATAAGAAATCACAAGAGAGATGTCTCTTTCGAATGATACCCAGCTCCACCCCACCTCCTTCGTGCTGCTGGGAATCCCAGGATTAGAACACATCCACATCTGGATTGGCTTTCCCTTTTGTGCTGTGTATCTGATTGCACTCATAGGAAACTTCACCATCTTGTTTGTCATCCAGACTGAGCGCAGCCTCCACCAGCCCATGTTCTACTTTCTGGCTATGTTGGCTACCATTGACCTGGGTCTCTCCACAGCCACCATCCCTAAGATGCTGGGCATATTCTGGTTCAGCCTCAGGGAGATCATTTTTCATGCCTGCCTCACTCAGATGTTTTTCATTCACATCTTTACTGGCATGGAGTCAGTAGTCCTTCTTGCCATGGCTTATGACCGCTATGTAGCTATCTGTAACCCTCTCCATTATAGCACAATTCTTACTAACAAGACAGTATCCATTATTGGTTTTGGGGTAGTTGGGAGATCTTTCCTCACTGTTTTCCCTTTTGTATTCCTCATCTTGCGATTGCCCTTCTGTGGACACCATGTCATCCCACACACATACTGCGAGCACATGGGTCTTGCTCGCCTGGCCTGTGCAAACATCAAGGTCAACATCATATATGGTTTGGGGACCATTGCTATCTTGGGACTTGACATCATAGCCATTGCTCTCTCTTACATATACATTCTCCGTTCTGTTTTCCGTCTCCCCTCGCATGAGGCGAGACTCAAGTCTCTCAGCACCTGTGGTTCCCATGTCTGTGTAATTTTGGCCTTTTACACCCCAGCTCTTTTCTCTTTCATGACACATCGCTTTGGCCAAAATGTTCCCCGATACATTCATATTCTTCTGGCCAATCTTTATGTAGTTATTCCACCAATGTTCAACCCGATCATTTATGGAGTTAGGACCAAGCAGATCCGTGAAAGAGTGTTCAGAATATTCATCCATCAATAAATAGTGGAGGAATCCCTCCAAGTTTTGTCCAGAGCCTTAACTATTAATATGTTCATCTAAGGAAAGAGGGGAGGCTTTGAAAATGGCAAATGACCACTTAATGGGAAGGATGTTGATGTCTTTTTTGTGTGCATTTCACCCATTCAGGGAGTAGAAGCTTTTAATTTTAAATACTATTAAGGTAGATGAACAATGATTCTATCTGATTATTTTGAAGTATAACATAAGACATGTTCATGATTCTCAGAAATCTAAGTGGTCAAGTTACAGAAGACATTTTGCCACTTCTACTATGGGTAATGGGTATTCCTTCTCTCTCTCTCTCTTCTCCTTTACCTCCCTTGCTCTTCCTCCTATTTCTCTTTCTTTTGTTATCCATTTTTCTTTTTTTCTCTCTCTTTCTCTCTCCTTCCAATATTTCTCTGTCAGCCTGTTTTAGTGTATCTTACTATAGCTTTATCCACCTGCCCTGTCCCTCCCCTCCTACCTTTGTTTAATATTCTGTTCCATTTACTCTCAAAACATAAACAGCTTTTTTTTTTCTTATTGGTTTCATTGAGTAGTCGATTGATTCAGTAAATGGATTACTTGAGATAATGAAGAGACCGAATTAAGTCCCCAAATTAATGAGCATGCCACAGGACCAGAATATGATGAGCGTGGGGGAACAGCATTTAAAAATATATTCATCAAAAAGCTACATTAGAAGGAATTAGAAACAAGAAAGTGTAGGTAAAGGCAGGAGGCCTGGGAACTAAGCAGAAGGAAAATATATTCTTACAGGTATTAGAAATTTAGTGTTTAAAACTAAATACATAAGCATCTCATTAAAATAGTTTTTATATGGTTTATAGAAGCAGTATTCATTTGGATACAATTTGGTCATATCAAATCTCTCTCTCCTCTTCTTGAAAATAATTTTTAATTGCCTGGTCTTGTTGATACACGTTGGTTGTAAAAGTAATTTGCTTTACAAAAATCAACTGTGTGTTTGTTAAGAAAACAGAGAATTTCTGCAATGAAATATGTTGAGAGTGAAACGTATAGATCTGCAAAATACTACCAAACTGCTCAATAGGAAGAGCCTATTTCTATTTGGGGAGTGAATACACGCTCAGATAGCAGGCATAAATTAACTATTGTTATGGACTCCCAGGACTACTTTTCTATTAGGTACACAAAGGCATTTCCAGAACAGAAAACAGCATGAGGATGATCAGAGAAATTTGATAAAACCTTATTTTTGCAGATTCATATATAAGGTGGAGCAGTAGAGTTAATACAGAGATTGAAAGGACCAAACAAGTAGGGTAAGATTTACATCAGATCATGTACCACCTGTTTTCTATGTTAAAGAATTTGATATTTGACTTTACTTACTAGATTTATTACATGAGAGGTTCTCTCATGTATAAGCGAGGGGCAAATTATATTGTTATGAGGAAAAGAGAGAATCTGGATACATAACATGGACTTAAGTTGTAAGAGAATATTATTATTTTGTTGTTTCACAGATAACTGCTATGTTTGGACCTTATTGAACATTATTGCTTTCACATTATTCTTACATTTAATTGTAAATTTTAAAATTAAAACTATAAGTAGATCCTCTAATATACTCAAAGTACTGTGATACACTTTGAACATTATTGGTTAATGGATTTTATTCTAAGTTATACACGTATGGATTATAAGACTAAGAAAGAGGTGCCCACAAATTTAGGTACGGGAATCCAACCATAGTATATTTGAAATCAGTACTAGTATGACCTTAAATTTAAAGTAAAAATACACAAATAAATTACTCAAAATCATAAAAAAGGCAATACTTCTAAAGCTCTTATTGTGTATCAGGCATAGTTTTATATACTTTATATGTATTCTTTCATATCATTCTAGCAGCAATCCTCCGGTATAGGTGCCATTTCTGTGCTGTAACAGGTGAGCAAAATGAGAAGTGCAGACTTAGTTTGCCCAATGTCACGCAGCAGTGAGACATGGAGCCTGGATTCCAAACCAGCCAGTGTGATTCCAGTTCAATTTTTACAACTATACTACAATGTAATGATATGTATAACTTTAATGAAATACTTCAAGATATTCTTTTCACAATGGAACTTTTCATGATTCAGTATTAAGTGAAAAGTTGAAAGTTATAAAATTGTATACAGTATGCAGAATTTCAAAAAATGTAATTTTTAGATATAAATTTATCAGAATTTAAGCAATTTATGCCTAGGCAGTGAGATTTCTTTTTTGGAAGTTTTGTTAATTACTGAAATGTTTAATGTTGGACATATGTGATTTTATCATCATAAGATACCATTAAACCATGGAAGAAATAAAAGATGATTAAAAGAAAGTAACATTTGGTATCTACTATTTAATCATTTCTTCTATTTCACATTTTTGGTTTACTTTTTAACTTAACTTAAAAATGAAAGCTTTTGCCAATGTTCCTAAATACACATAACACTCCTGTATTTCACATCTTAATTATTGACCATCACTATCCCATTTCCAACATCTTAAGGAAAATAAAACATGGATTTATCCTTGACACATCTCTTTCTCTCACAATCCACATACAAATTTTGAGTCAACTGCATTTACTCTGCCTTCAAATTATATGCAAAATATGAGCATTTGTTGAGATAAAGCCAAGCTCTGAGTACTTCTTTTTTTAAAAAATATATTATATTGATATTTTACAGAGAGGAAGGGAGAGAGATAGAGAGTTAGAAACATCGATCAGCTGCCTCCTGCACATCTCCTACTGGGGATGTGCCTGCAACCCAGGTACATGCCCTTGACCGGAATCGAACCTGGGACCTTTCAGTCCACAGACGGACGCTCTATCCACTGAGCCAAACCGGTTTCAGCTCTGAGTATTTCTTGAGATAAATCCAAGTTGTTAATTTAATTACTAAAATAAACTCAAAATGGATAAAGGACTTAAATGTATGACAGGAAACCATAAAAATGGATAAAGGACTTAAATGTACGACAGGAAACCATAAAAATTCTAGAAGAATCCAAAGGCAACAAAATCTCAGACATATGCCGAAGCAATTTCTTCACCGATATAGCTCCTAGGGCATTGGAAACTAAAGATAAAATAAACAAATGGGACTACATCAAAATAAAAAGCTTCTGCACAGCAAAAGAAACCATCAACAAAACAACGAGAAAACCCACTGTGTGGGAAAACATATTTGCCAATGTCATATCTGATAAGGGCCTAATCTCCAAAATTTATAGGGAACTCATACAACTTAACAAAAGGAAGATAAACAATCCAATCAAAAAATGGGCAAAGGACCTAAATAGACACCTTTCAAAAGAGGACATTCAGAAAGCCAAGAGACATATGAAAACATGCTCAAAGTCACTAATCATCCGAGAGATGCAAATCAAAACAACAATGAGGTACCATCTCACACCTGTCAGACTGGCTATCATCAACAAATCAACAAACGACAAGTGCTGGAGAGGATGTGGAGAAAAAGGAACACTTGTGCACTGCTGGTGGGAATGCAGACTGGTGCAGCCACTATGGAAGACAGTATGGAGTTTCCTCAGAAAACTGAAAATGGAACTCCCATTTGACCCTGTGATCCCACTTCTAGGAATATACCCCAAGAAACCAGAAACACCAATCAGAAAGGATATATGCACCCCTATGTTCATAGCAGTACAATTCACCATAGCTAAGATCTGGAAACAGCCTAAGTGCCCATCAGTAGATGAATGGATTAGAAAACTGTGGTACATCTACACGATGGAATACTATGCTGCTCTAAAAAGGAAGGAACTCTTACCATTTGCAACGGCATGGATGGAACTGGAGAGCATTATGCTAAGTGAAATAAGCCAGTCAATGAAGGAAAAATACCACATGATCTCACTCATTCATGGATAATAGAGACCATTATAAACTTTTGAACCAATAATAGATACAGAGGCAGAGCTGCCTCAAACAGATTGTCAAACTGCATCGGGAAGGCCGGTGAGGGTTGGGGGCAGGAGGGAGGGGGGTAAGAGATCAACAACAACAACAACAAAATATAAGATCTCTAAAAGAAATAAGATATATATTTGAGATCTTGGGGCAGGAAAATATATCTTAAAAAGGACACAGAAAAGAAGATACCTTAGATTTTATCAACATTAAAATATTTTATTGTTTAAGGAAACAAAAGATGAAGGGGCAAACCACAGACAGGGAGAAAATATTTATAATACATAGTTCTAACAAAGATTATGTAACCAGACACATAAAGATATTCTATAAGCCCATTATTAAAAGATAACAATATAAAAGAGTGGGCAAAGAACTTGGACATGTACTCATAAAAAAGATAAGTAATATAAATTAATACAAGAAAAATGCCTAGAAGTTTTAATCATAAAGAAAAATACAAGTTTTCTTTTTAATAAAATGCCCTTTCATGACTCAGTAGATACAGACAAATGATTGACAACATGAAGTGGTGACAATACAAAATGACAATACAAAAAAGGAACAATTATAAATCTCATAAATTGATGGTGGAGGGTGAAAAGTATTATAATGTTAAATGTACATTCTGCTACACCCCTCCTATGACCTAAAAATTTCACTTTGTAAAGCATACAAAAAGGAGAAAATAATACTACCTGCTAAATAAAATTATAAGGGACAGAGAATGCAGCAATGGATATTGAGAAGTGGTCTGAAAAGAAGATGGAAATAAGACACTTTCAGAGGAGAGCCAACATAAATACATATTTTGACATAGTTGTTGTATGAAAGTATTTTTCTAACTTAAATTTCATAAAATTTCACAATGAAAATCAGTTAGTAGTGTCATTATGTTTCCATTCCTTATTTCTGTAATAATATTTTCTTCACACAATCATAGATCTGCTTGGTTCTGACTCCACATATGACAGGGTTGAGCATTGGTGGCACTACGACGTAAAGATTGGCCAGGAGTATGTGGATATAGCGAGGGACA